GGGGCGGCACCGCTTAGCAGGACACCGCGTCGAAAACTCCTGCGACCTCGGCTGGCTGGCGGGAGCCACCATGCAGCTCTCTCACCACTTAAACTTCATCCCAGGACAGGGGAAAAACGGTCTCCACGGGGGAGGCCTCACCTTTGCAAGGTGAGCGCCGGGCCCGGGGCCAGGAGGGCTGTAATGCGGCCGGCCGCCTAGGGCAGGGCCTGCACTGGCCACCAGGGGGCAGAAAAAGCAGAGGGGCCTCTAGCTAACCGCTTCCCGATTGCAATTCCCCTTGGTCTTCCGCCTACTTCCGGCTAAGCTTCCCCAGGCCCAACCCTAAAGATAAAAACTGTTCATAGTCATCTTCTGTGCAGTCATTGCTTCATTTGTTTGACTCGTGTGCCAGGGTTTGCGCTGTGCTCTGAGGTAGAGAGGTGAGTGAAAGGTGAGTGGTAATATGACAGGCAAGGGACAGTGGACAGGTGGCTACCAGGAAGGAGCCTGATGTGGGGTCAGGCAGAGAGGGAGTCAAGGGCAGGCTCAGCCCCCCGCCTGATGCAGGGACCTGAGCAAGTCATTGAACTCTCTGAGTCTTTTTTTTTTTTAATTGTGGCAAAATATACAGAACCTAAAATTTACCATTTAAACTATTTTACCTGTACCACTCAGTGCCATTAGGCACATTCACATTGTTGTGTGACCGTCACCACCATCCATCCATCCATCCATCCATCCACAGATTTTTTTCTCTTTCCAAACTGCAGCTCTACCCATTAAACAACAAAGCCCGCTCCCCCTTTTTTCCAGACCTGGGCAACCACTATTCTTTCTGTCTCTATGAATGTGACTAATCTAGATACCTCATATAAACGGAATCATACAGTATTAGTCCTTCCATGACTAGTTTATTTCACTGAGTGTAATGTCCTTGAGGTTCATCCATGTTGTAGCCCATGTTAGAATTTCATCTTGGGGCTTTTTTTAAATCACTCCTGTGCGAGATGGTGAAGCTTGATAACTCTCCAGAAAGAATACAGTAAGAATCAGAGATAAAATATGTAACGCTCTATCACAGAGCAGCTGCTCAGGAAGCGAAAGATATTATTATTATTATTTCTACCTCTATTGTCAGTACAATAAGGTGTGCAAAGAGCCTGCAAGCAAAATGGTAAGAGTCGAATCTGCCTGTGCATCTGGGGCTGTGAGGTTTGGGGAGAAGCTTCAGAGCCACTCATAGTCATATGGAGGTGAGGGGATTAATACGGAAATAGGAGGAAGAGTAGGATGAGGTGGCGGTTTGGGAGCCTGGCCTCATTCTCTCCAGGAGGAGTGTGTAGGGGTGATGTCCTGGTGGAAGGGAAGCAGGGGGTGCTTCATCCCCTAGTCTGTGATGGTTTCCCAACGCAGCTTCAAGAAACTCCTCTGGGCCATGTGGGGATGAAAGGCCTCTCTGGGGCTGAATGCAGAAATGCAGAGTGTGAAAGTGAAGATGCAGGGGGAGAGCCTGTGGGAGGAAGTGGGCGGAGCTTCCCAGGGGAACCTCCCAGTACCTGGCATCCAGGATGCAAGTCCCAGCAACAGAAGGCCACTGCCTTTCGGTGCGCTGCAGGCGCCAGGTCAGCAGGTGGGGAGGAAGCAGCTAGAGTCATAGGCAGAGGCGGCAGAGGTGACAGCAGAAACAGGTATCAGCGTGTGGCCCAGGGTGTTTGCCATGATCCAGATGCTCTGTGGGAGCTGGGATTCTACCATTCACTGTTCGGTAAAGCCAGTTCCCTATCCTCCCTCTGGTAATGAAGACTGGCTTGGGGAAAACCAGTTACCAGGAAATGCCAGGAATGGGGGTGGCACTTGCCTCACCCCAATCTGAGGCTCTGCCCATGCCAAAATCTACACCAGTCTGTTTGCAGGGACAGAAGAGCCTCTGAAGAAAGAGCTGAGGGGACAAGGGACGAGACAAACACAAAGCCTGCCTGCCCTGTCTGCCACCAAAGTATCTCACAAGAGGAAACCAGCCACCATGAGCAAGAACCAGCAGACATGACAGAGGGCAAAACTACATGGCGCAGAACTTGCTCGCTATAAGTTCTGTTACATGATTAAAGATACAAAAGAAGAAAATAGAATTGTGCAAAAGAAAAATAAGCAGATTTGGAAAATAAATATAACTTCTAAAAATGAAAAATGTAATAATGAAATTTAAAACTCAATAGATGCTTAAAAAGCAGAAGAAAAACAACTGAAAAGAAAATGAGTGGACTGGAAAGAGGATCTGAGGAAATGGAAGAGATATGTGATAGAATGCACGAAAAACAAAATGAGAAAGTCTCATATATATCTAATAGGAGTTCCAGAAAGAAAGAACGTAGATGAGGGAGAGAAAATATTCAGAGATCGTTCTCCAGTACCAAGTGCATATGTCTGTGGTACCACCCTTTGACCCAGGTGAGCAGGGGCCCTGCCGTGGGTCCTGCACCTCAGGGAGCCATGTGCTTTGGAGTGCCTTCCTTGCAGTATTCTACATCCCCCTCCAAAGGCAAGGACTGAGCAGAGATGGCAGTGTTTAGGCAGGTTGCCCAGAGCCTGGAACAAGGCCCACGTGAACCATGGTCCAATCTCTACCCTACAAGGCACTCTCTGACTCTCTAGCTGGTTTAGGGGGTCAACCAGATGCTCCCACAGACCTCAGGTCTTGCCCCTATGGGACGTCTTGGATCCTAGACCCAGGGTGGCAGCCTCGTGAGTGGGATCCCTCCCATTTGTCAAAGCAGGACATCTTTCTTGGGATCACATGTAACCGAGCTGCCAAAATAATGCTAGCATGCTGATTTTGTTGACACAAGTGATTTATATGCACAAGGACACACAAAAAGTATTTGCTCAGGGCCCCACACATCTTACCATTTATCAGCAATAACAAATACCCATGAGCCTACATACCATAAAAGACAGGGAACATCTTTAAAGCCATGGAGAGGAAAAACAGCTGTCCACAAAGGCATGGCAGCAGGCTGAGTCCGGGGCTCTACAATAGAGGCCATGTGGCTTTGGAACAGTATTTTCGAAATGCTGAAAACCCTCAACCTAGGATTCTGTATCCAGATTGAAATCTCGTTTAAACGCAAGGGTCAAATAAAGAAATCTTAAGACAAAAGCAGAGAATTTGCCACTACTGGAGCCTCGCTGAGAAACCAAAGATTTTTATTCAAGAAGAAAGTAAGGGCGCCTGGCTGGCTCAGTTAGTAAAGCATGCACCTCTTAATCTCAGGGTTGTGAGTTTGAGCCCCACGTTGGGTATAGAGCTTACTTTAGGAGAAAAAAAAAAGAAAGAAAGAAATGAACCTGGATGGAAAGAGTAAAGTAAAAGTAACAATGGTGGGCAAATAAAAAATAATACAAATAAATATCTGGGCAAATGAATTATAAGATCACAATGATAGCTACGGCTGGGAGAGGGGTTGAAAACAAAATGGATGTTTATTCTCTTGAGTTTGGGGAGTGTGTAAATGTGTTAAAATATTCAAATGTTACACTTTAAATATGTCACTATTATTCTTGTCAATTATATTTCAATAAAGCTTCTGAATAAAGAAAGAGAAGTGAAACTGAAATCCGTAATGGTAATAATATGAAGGGTGGGAGAAGGAATCCAGAGTTGCAGCTGCTAAGATCTCCATGTTATTCAGAAGGAGGTTAAAAATATTCACACTAGACTCTAAGGCAAGTATGTAAGTTTTAAAATTTAAGTGTAACTCGTTTAAAAAAAAAAAAGGAACAGATTACATAACTTTTAAACCACTTTAGAGGGGGGAAAATAGGAATAAAAAAGACTGCCAAATCATTTTCTTTTGAAAAACCCAAGAGAAAGCAGGAAGGAGAGAAAAAAGATGGTAAATAGGAAGCACAGAATTACACTATTAATGTCTCAGTGACGACAATTAGTATAAATTGTTTAAACTCAACAATAAAATGCAAAGACTAGCAAACTGAATAAAAAACAAAATCCAGCTATGGGTTTTTTTCATTTAAAAGAAACATACATAGGGGCACCTGAGTGGCTTGGTTAGTTAAGCATCCGACTCTTGATCTCAGCTCAGGTCTTAATCTCAGGGTTGTGATTTCGAGCCCCACAAAAAAAAAAAAGAAAGAAAGAAAGAAAAGAAACATACATATAACAGAAGAATGAAGAAGAAGCAGATAAGCAGACAGAAAAAATTATCCAGGGAAATACTGTTCTAGAGATAGTGATATCAATATAAGATCAAATGAACTTTAAGGCAAAAATAAATTTATTAGAGTTATAAAAGAGGACCATTGTATAATCAGAAAAAACAACAGGGAACATAGCTATGTATGAACCTATTGGCATAGGCTGAAATATATAATTGGACAAATAATATATGGACACGTTATAAAATATGGACTGAATTACACAGTGAAATTGTTTAATTGACCTTTACAGTGGGAGCTTTTAACACATTTCTCACTATAAATTCAGTGAAGTGCCAATCAAAACACTGATAGTTTTTTAATTGAACTTGATTGTGCTGATTCTAAACTTTTTCTGGAACAGCAAAGGGTCAAGAATAGCCAAGACATTTCTGAAGTTGAATACAGCGAAAATACTCTAAAGAGAAGGTAATTATGCCAGTGCGGTGAGCAGCAGAAACCAGGCAATAGTACATGGGCATGTGACACGTGACAGGTGACGCTGCAGGGCGCAGGGCGTCAGGAGGGTTGGTTATCTGTAGGTAAATTTTAAATAAAGTTGAAGATCTAGCTCATGCCTGCACAAAAATAAACCCCATTGTAAGTCAAAGATCTGAATGTTCAAAGCAAAACTCTAAACGTTTAGGCTAAAATACATTTTGGCCTTGGGTGGGGAAAGATGTCTTTAATAAGACATAAAAACACAAACTGTAAAGGAGAAGATGCACAAATTTGCTGCAATTGACCCTTAAACAATGCAGGAGCTCAGGCAACCCCCCAAGCCCTGAACAGTCAAAAATCCCCATATAAATTATGATCCTCCAAAACGTAACTACTGATAGCATACTGTTTACTGATTATGTAAACAGTATGTTATATGTGTTATTAGCAATAATCACACCTCGGATAAACCTCATTGGCTACAATACTGCCACTGTGCAAAGCTTGTTATATGTGTTATATACCATATTCTTACAATAAAACGAGCTAAGGGAGAGAAAGTACATTTACAACGTGTACGTATAATTTGTTGAAAGAAACCCGTGTATAAGTAGATCCTTGCAGTTCAAAGCCATGTTGCTCAAGGGGCAACTGTACATTCAATTTTTTTCTTAATTTTTTATTGTTATGTTAATCGCCATACATTACATAATTAGTTTTTGATGTAGTGCTCCATGATTCATTGTTTGTGCATAACACCCAGTGTTCCATGCAGAACGTGCCCTCTTTAATACCCATCACCAGGCTAACCCATCCTCCCACCTCCCTCCCCTGAGTACCCTCAGTTTGTTTTTCAGAGTCCATCATCTCTCATGGTTCATCTCCCCCTCTGATATCCCCCCCTTCATCCTTTCCCTCCTGCTACCTTCTTCTTTTTTTTTTTTTTAAATATAATTTCCCCCCCTTCATTCTTCTCCTCCTGCTATATTCTTCTTTTTTTTTTTTCTTAACATATATTGCATTTTGCTCAGAGGTACAGATCTGTGATTCAACAGTCTTGCACAATTCACAGCACTCACCATAGCACATACCCTCCCCAGTGTCTATCACCCAGCCACCCCATCCCTCCCACCCCACCCCCCACTCCAGCAACCCTCAGTTTGTTTCCTGAGATTAAGAATTCCTCATATCAGTGAGGTCATATGATACATGTCTTTCTCTGACTGACTTATTTCGCTCAGCATAACACCCTCCAGTTCCATGCACGTCGTTGCAAATGGCAAGCTCTCATTCTTTTTGATGCCTGCATAATATTCCATTGTATATATATACCACTTCTTCTTTATCCATTCATCTGCCAATGGACATCTTGGCTCTTTCCACAGTTTGGCTATTGTGGACATTGCCGCTATAAACATCAGGGTGCATGTACCCCTTCGGATCCCTACATTTGTATCTTTGGGGTAAATACCCAGTAGTGCAATTGCTGGATCATATGGTAGCTCTATTTTCAACTTTTTGAGAACCTCCATACTGTTTTCCAGAGTGGTTGCACCAGCTTGTATTCCCACCAACAGTGTAGGAGGGTTCCCCTTTCCCTGCATCTCTGCCAGCGTCTGTCATTTCCTGACTTCTTAATTTTAACCATTCTGACTGGTGTGAGGTGGTATCTCATTGACATTTTGATTTGGATTTCCCTGATGCCGAGCGATGTTGAGCACTTTTTCATGAGTCTATTGGCCATTTGGATGTCTTCTTTGGAAAAATGTCTGTTCATGTCTTCTGCCTATTTCTTGATTGGATCATTTGTTCTTTGGGTGTTGAATTTGATAAGGTCTTTATAGATTTTGGATACTAGCCCTGTATCTGATATGTCATTTGCAAATATCTTCTCCCATTCTGTCGGTTGTCTTTTGGTTTTGTTGACTGTTTCTTTTGCTATGCAAAAGCTTTTTATCTTGATGAAGTCCCAAGAGTTCATTTTTGCCCTTGCTTCCCTTGCCTTTGGCGATGTTTCTAGGAAGAAGTTGCTGCGGCTGAGGTCGAAGAGGTTGCTGCCTGTGTTCTCCTTTAGGATTTTGATGGACTCCTATCTCACATTGAGGTCTTTCAACCATTTAGAGTCTGTTTTTGTGTGTGGTGTAAGGAAATGGTTCAGTTTCATTCTTCTGCATGTGGCTGTCCAATTTTCCCAACACCATTTGTTGAAGAGACTGTCTTTTTTCCATCGGATATTCTTTCCTGCTTTGTCAAAGATTAGTTGACCACAGAGTTGAGGGTCCATTGCTGGGCTCTCTATTCTGTTCCATTGATCTATGTGTCTGTTTTTGTGCCAGTACCATACTGTCTTGATGATGACAGCTTTGTAATAGAGCTGGAAGTCCGGAATTGTGATGCCACCAGCTTTGCTTTTCTTTTTCAACATTCCTCTGGCTATGCGGGGTCTTTTCTGGTTCCATACAAATTTTAGGATTATTTATTCCATTTCTTTGAAAAAAGTGGATGGTATTTTGATGGGGAATGCATTGAATGTGTAGATTGCTCTAGGTAGCATTGACATCTTCACAATATTTGTTCTTCCAATCCATGAGCATGGAACGTTTTTCCATTTCTTTGTGTCTTCCTCAATTTCTTTCATGAGTATTTTATAGTTTTCTGAGTATAGGTCCTTTGCCTCTGTGGTTATATTTATTCCTAGGTATCTTATGGTTTTGGGTGCAATTGTAAATGGGATCGACTCCTTAATTTCTCTTTCTTCTGTCTTGTTGTTGGTGTACAGGAATGCCACTGATTTCTGTGCATTGATTTTATATCCTGCCACTTGACTGAATTCCTGTATGAGTTCTAGCAGTTTTGGGGGGGAGTCTTTTGGGTTTTCCACATGAAGTATCATATCATCTGCAAAGAGTGAGAGTTTGACTTCTTCTTTGCCGATTTGGATGCCTTTGATTTCTTTTTGTTGTCTGATTGCTGTGGCTAGGACTTCTAATACTATGTTGAATAGCAGTGGTGATAGTGGACATCCCTGCCACGTTCCTGACCTTAGGGGGAAAGCTCTCAGTTTTTCCCCATTGAGAATGATATTTGCTGTAGGTTTTTCATAGATGGCTTTTATGATATTGAGGTATGTAGCCTCTATGCCTATACTCTGAAGAGTTTTGATCAAGAAAGGATGCTGTACTTTGTCAAATGCTTTTTCTGCATCTACTGAGAGGATCATATGGTTCTTGTTCTTTCTTTTGTTAATGTACTGTATCACATTGATTGATTTGCGGATATTGAACCAACCTTGCGGCCCAGGGATAAATACCACTTGGTCATGGTGAATAATCCTTTTAATGTACTGCTGGATCCTATTGGCTAGTATTTTGGTGAGAATTTTTGCATCCATGTTCATCAAGGATATTGGTCTGTAATTCTCCTTTTTGATAGGGTCTTTGTCTGGTTTGGGGATCAAGGTAATGGTGGCCTCATAAAACGAGTTTGGAAGTTTTCCTTCCATTTCTATTTTTTGGAACAGTTTCAGAAGAATAGGTATTAATTCTTCTTGAAATGTTTGGTAGAATTCCCCTGGGAAGCCATCTGGTCCTGGGCTTTTGTTTGTTGGGAGATTTTGGATGACTGCTTCAATTTCCTTAGTGGTTATAGGTCTGTTCAGGTTTTCTATTTCTTCCTGGTTCAGTTTTGGTAGTTGATAATCTCTAGGAATGCATCCATTTCTTCCAGGTTATCTAATTTGCTGGCATAGAGTTGCTCATAATATGTTCTTATAATTGTTTGTATTTATTTGGTGTTGGTTGTGATCTCTCCTCTTTCATTCATGATTTTGTAAATTTGGGTCATTTCTCTTTTCTTTTTGATAAGTCTGGCCAGGGGTTTATCAATTTTATTAATTCTTTCAAAGAACCAGCTCCTAGTTTCGTTGATCTGTTCTACTGTTCTTTTGGTTTCTATTTCATTGATTTCTGCTCTGATCTTTATTATTTCTCTTCTCCTGCTGGGTTTAGGCTTTATTTGCTGTTCTTCCTCCAGCTCCTTTAGGTGTAGGGTTAGGTTGTGTATTTGAGATCTTTCTTGTTTCCTGAGAAAGGCTTCTATTGCTCTATACTTTCCTCTTAGGACTGCCTTTGCTGCATCCCAAAGCTTTTGAACAGTCGTGTTTTCATTTTCATTGGTTTCCATGAATTTTTTAAATTCTTCTTTAATTTCCTGGTTGACCCATTCATTCTTCAGTAGGATGCTCTTTAGCCTCCATGTATTTGAGTTCTTTCTGACTTTCCTCTTGTGATTGAGTTCTAGTTTCAAAGCAGTGTGGTCTGAAAATAGGCAGGGAATGATTTCAGTCTTTTGGTACCGGTTGAAACCTGATTTGTGACGTAGGATGTGATCTAGTCTCAAGAATGTTCCATGGGCACTAGAGAAGAATGTGTATTCTGTTGCTTTGGGATGGAATGTTCTCAATATGTCTGTGAAGTCCATTTGGTCCAGTGTGTCATTTAAAGTCTTTATTTCCTTGTTGATCTTTTGCTTAGATGATCTGTCCATTTCAGTGAGGGGGGTGTTAAAGTCCCCCACTATTATGGTATTGTTGTCAATGTGTTTCTTTGTTTTTGTTATTAATTGCCTTATATAATTGGCCGCTCCCATGTTAAGGGCATAGATATTTACAATTGTTAGATCTTCTTGTTGGATAGATCCTTTAAGTAGGATATAGTGTCCTTCCTCATCTCTTATTACAGTCTTTGGTTTAAAATCTAATTTGTCTGATATAAGGGTTGCCACCCCAGCTTTCTTTTGGTGTCCATTAGCATGGTAAATAGTTTTCCACCCCCTCACTTTCAATCTGGGGGTGTCTTTGGGTCTGAAACGAGTCTCTGGCTGACAGCATATCGATGGATCTTGTTTTTTTATCCAATCTGATGACTGTGTCTTTTGATTGGGGCATTTAGCCCATTTACATTCAAGGTAACTATTGAAAGATAGGAATTTAGTGCCATTGTATTGCCTGGAAGGTGACTGTTACCATATATTGTCTGTGTTCCTTTCTGGTCTATGTTGCTTTTAGGCTCTCTCTTTGCTTAGAGGACCCCTTTCATGATTTCTTGTAGGGCTGGTTTTGTGTTTGCAAATTCCTTTAGTTTTGTTTGTCCTCTCCTTCTATTTTCAATGACAGCCTAGCTGACTATAGTATTCTTGGCTGCATATTTTTCTCATTTAGTGCTCTGAATATATCATGCCAGTCTTTTCTGGCATGCCAGTCTCTGTGGATAGGTCTGTTGCCAATCTAATATTTCTACCAAGGTAGGTTATAGATCTCTTCTTCCAAGCTGCTTTCAGGTTTTTCTCTTTGTCTCTGAGACTCGTAAGTTTTACTATTAGATGTCAGGGTATTGACTTATTTTTATTGATTTTGAGAGGGGTTCACTGTGCCTCCTGGATTTTGATGCCTGTTTCCTTCCCCAAATTAGGGAAGTTCTCTGCTATAATTTGCTCCAATATACCTTC